CTTCCAAATATTTTTTCTTCTTTCCAAGTGACTGTTAAACTGTAGGCTCATAAACTATTTTGCAAACTTTGTGAGAAACAAAGCATTTTGCTTTACTTTCAGTTTCTTTAAAACACTGACAGTTGGCCTGTTTTTTGTTTTGTTTTCCACTGCTGCTACCATTTTGTTGTTTTAGAGGATTTGGGACATAAGAGCATAATGACTAGAAAGGATCATTTGGAGGTCTGAACTAGGACAAATTATAAATACACTCTAAGACTCCTATTCACTAAATAAATAAAACTATGGCTAGGCTACTAAAGAACTCCCTCTCCTACTGCTTAGGAACCTTCTAATGTCTAACAAGACTTACTCATTGCTAGTTTATATCTTTTTTGCCCATGTTCCAACATATTAATTCTTCTGGTATTTACTTCTCCAGTATTTATCCCCCCTCTTGAACTTATAGAAAGCAACCCTACATCTCTGAAGCCTTTAATCTTTCTGGAATGAACAAGTCAAGAATTTCTGGTCTTCTCTCATTTATCAAGCTCTTTTCCTGATCATTCTGGTCCAGACCAACTTAATTTTAACGTATTTTACGATGATATTAATACTTCCTTATCTATACTTAAGACTGCTCTGTGTCTACATCTTAGAATAGTATTTCACTTTTCCTTGGCTTCATCCCACTGTTGGCAAATAAGTCTTCCTTGTTCCAGGAGTTACAGAAAGAGAACCTTCTCCTTTTAGCTTGTTTCCATATAGCTGAAGTTCTTTTCGTTACCGTTTACGAGGCTTCCTTGAAACATTTCTTGATCCCTTGTATTTGTCTGCCTATTTATGGTAATTTTGTCGCTTGGATTTTTAGGTACAGAATGTCAAGGTATTTAAGTTATATCAAATGGTCATAAAATGTTTTCTTGTAGTATGAAGGAAGATGTGCACAAAGGTGTCATACAAAAAAACTCATACAAAAGAAGATGCATTCATTTAATGCAGAGGAGGAAAAGACCTAAAGCAGGTTAATGAGAGAAAGGTGCAAGCTTCGTAAGTGATTTTGAAGGTCTTGGGCATAGAAGGGTATACTCTTTCTTTGAGAAACAGTGTTTACAACTTCTTTCTTGAGTGGCAGGTCTGAAATGACAGAATTTGTTCCTTCGTGAACGGGGCATGATGAAGAATAACTAAGTAAAAGCAAAAAAGGAAAATAAGAGAAAGATATGTGTTTTTTCTTTCCTGTTTATTATCTGACAAATTCTGTTTTACTGTCATACTACATTTGTCTTCTAATAAAGTAAGCTACTTCTATACACAAAAGCTACTGTTTTACAGTGTTAGGAAAAGGAGAGTTTGCAGTTGTACATCCTTCAGTAAGAGAAAGAACAACACAGGGAGGGAGGCAAATGGCAAACACACATTCATCTCTCTCTCTCCCTCTCTTTCTCTCTCTTTTTCTGTTTCTCTTCCTCTTCTTCCCCCCCCCCCCCTACCTGTCTCTTACCCCCCCCCCCCTTTTTGTAAAGCTTTTGACATCTAAGCCAATTACTTTGCAGTTTGTCTTCTCCATGCCTCAATTTTCCTTAGAGAATGGCTGAAAGCGCTGGATTGCATATTATCCTTTTGTGCACTGCCTGAAGAATATCTGTACTCTCCCTCTTGAGGAGAGTTTTATGTCAGACACCCACAATGAATAGCAAAAGTCTGTCTTTGACAGGAATACATATACTGACCTTCAATTAAGCTGCAGGTTAAGACAATACTGGAAAATCAATAGCTCATTTTCTGTCTTTTGTGCTCAGATTTTGATGTTTACTAAGATAAAGGATGACAATCCTAAAGGCAGGAATCTTTGCAGAACATCCATTGATGTTGCTATAGGCTCAAGGGCCAGGTATGGCCTAATCTTTGCAAAGCTTCCAAACACTAGTTTGTCAATAAATATCAACTGTAGCCTTATAGACCATCCACTATCTCTGAGTTTTCATCAAGTATAATTTGCTGTTCTCCTCCAGCCTCCTGACCCAGTTAGCCATGTAGCTGTGCCTGATTTCTAGGTTGAACCCTAACTTGCAGGTTCTGGTGCCTGCTGGTTTAGTTTTCTTTTTTAGGAGTGTAGGGTGTAGGGGGGTGAGACACATACCTACCCTGCTACCCTTTTCTCATTTCTTTAGGCATCTATATGATACTTAAAGCATAAGCATATAGAATGGGGAGGGGACGCTGAAATCCAAATTTTGGCAGATATCTATCTGGCAAGTTGACTACTATCTCTAGCTAACATCTGCCTGATCATAGACACAACAGCAATGGATTAATTAAGCTATGAGGCCAAAGTCCATGGTTTGAGGCAGGATTTTTCTTACAGCTAAAAGATAATATATAATACAAGTCAATTTATCTGAATGGACTTTTTCATTTTGATAAATTTAGAAATAATGAAATCTTGCTTCTAACCCAAAAACTTTTTTTTCCAAAGAAAAAGATGGAAACTTTTGTATTCATGGGAAATACTATTAAAATATTATGAGCATCTGTTAAAAATGCTCCTAACAGTAGAAAGGGCATGACCCTGATGTGAACACGTTCAGTCCTGGAGCTTCTTTCCATGCCACATCAGGAGCAGTAGCATGCTGAGGCTTCTGGCAGGAAGAGACACAGGAGGAGATCCAAAGAAAAAAGGGATGCAAATTGGGAGGACAGAATAGGAGGGGAGAAAAAGCTAATTATCTGTCTCTCTCCAACTCCTTTTCCACATCTATTCTTTTAATGATGAACTGTTTGACCTTAACTGTAGCTGTAAGTTATTATAAATAATACACTGGGTTTATCATAGATGCATTCATGCGGACATACTAACAGATAAAGCCAGCCAAATTTAAATGATCAAAAATTAAGTATTTAAAGTGTATCAGAGTGCAGATTGCTTTTTGTCTTAAATATGTGTAAATTTTGACCTGCACAATATTGTCATCTGTTCCTATTAAACCTGCATAAATAGATAATGCTTTGGTACTTCAGTGTATTTAAATACAAAAATCAGAAGGAAAATCTGAGCCTGGAAGACCAGTTTGATATGGGCTGCCATGTTATCTGGGAAATAGTCTTTAAGGCTTAACCCTGATGTCTGTGTTAGGTCTGCTTATTAAACTTTTGTTAGTATTCTGCGTTGTCCCTGCTGGATGGAGTGGTATTAGCTAGCTCTGACTGACAGCCCCTAGTCCTTGACTAAAGATGTGGTGAGTGTGATGTGAGACCCTGAAGCAGGGAAGTGGAAAGGTCAGAAAACTTCGAATGTCCCTTACAAGCTTCTGGAGGGAAGATCCCTGGAGACTGTCTGCCTGCTGAGCAGGAGTACAGAAAAAAAAGTGGAATAGTCATCTACAAGAGAAGTGAAATATGTAGACATATTCACGTATATGAATAAGAAATCTTTTACTCATTTTATGTTTTGTGCTGGCTCCCAGAGCACCTTGTATTTTCTCTCACATTTTTGCAGGTTAGCATCTCGTCTTTCTTCAGGTCTATTTTTTGTAAGCCAGCCACATGGTATTCTAAAAGGAATAAAATGGGTACAATTCTCCCCAGGCAAGGTTTCTGCCTACCCAATAATCCTACTTACATGCTGTTTTCTGAGGCACTTGCTCTGTGCGAGTACAAGATTTTACAGAGGCAGAGCAGCGCTGAAGGCATTCTTCTAACGAGCTGTCCAGGTTACTTTCCCAGTCTCTACTTTATATGCCTCCTTGATTCATGAGAAGCCAAATACTGGGATCTCCCTACCACTTCTTTCCATGCAATTTTGAAGAGAGAAGAGTCCAGTTCTTTTCTGAAGTTTTTCAGTCTTTTATTTTCAATAGGAACTGTAATAACAATGTGCCTTTATACATGTGCAATAAGTGTTCATATCTGTAACATTTGGCATGATAATTCCATTTCAAACAGTGCATAAGAAATGTTCATTTCTTATATGACAATTTTATTATCTTTTTAAGAACTAAAAATAAGACTGTCCTCCTCAGTAGGTGGTATTCTATCTTCTCAACTCAGCTCTTCCATTGATCATAGAAAACCAAGGCAGCAGAACTTAATATGCTGTTTATTTCCTTTCCTAGAAATACTGTGGTGATAAGCAAAGTAGAATCATCTTCACCTAGAAATATGAAGCCTGGCTAAAACCTTATTTTGAGCCATATAACTCAATTCTTGTGTGTTTCCTGACTTATCTAATGTCCACAATTGGTAGAATCTAAGCATTTTTCTGAAGAGGAAATATGAGCAGAGATCTCTTTTCAGTCTAGTTTAGCAATTGTAGCTCAGAGATTATAGCAATATCCGATATGGACCTTTATTGAGGATCTATTCCTTCCTTACCTCAATGTGATTTTGTGAGAAGTTCTTGAAAGTGTGATTACAGCATTAGACAGTGAATTTTGTGTGAAATTATCATTGCTTTCCTTATAAGATGATTGCATAGATTAATGTTTTAATTCGTCTTTTACATGGAAAGTAGATGAGCAACACAACTAGAATGTGTACTTTAAAATGGAAAAGAAAAGTATATGAATTTGCATTTTCTTACCTAGAAAAAGTTTAAGGAAGGAGTGGACTGATGATTCACTCAGTACTTGGAATAAGGCTGTATTTTCCATAGCTAGCACAAGTTATTTCACTCTTCTGGAGAGGAAAAATTAATCTGCTTTTAAGGGAGCTGATTTGGAAAGAAAGGAAGAATAAAAGGCATGTAAAGCTGGCTTCAGAACATATATTGGATTTATCTTGTTCCCATACTGAAACAAACAAACAAACAACCTTGGTCAACAGACTTCTACATATCTGATTCTCCACGAACAATGTATCTGCTGAGATTATAGTTCCTTAAATTCAGCGGCGCTAAGTGGTTATTATGTTCACTTTAAAAATTTCTAGTTGTTGTTTATGATAAGACTTTTTTTTTTTTTTTTTACAAATGTTAATAGTTTAAAAAATCAAGTTATTGAAATAATGTTGAACTCCAGAGATCATGAGTAGTTCAGTAGCTATTGACTGCTGGAGGTTGGGATTTTGTGGTAAATCAGATAAGTCCCACAGCAGTAAGCCCTTCCAGCACAAATGCTTTCGTGTGTGGATTTTACTTTCCTTCTGCAAATACTGGTGCATAGTACTTTGAAATTAACTTTACACAAACGTGCATACCAATAAGTTAGTCACTCAAATGTTCATGAAAATCAAATACCCCAAAGGATGTGAGCACGGCCTAAGAGAACTGATTGAATAAAATCAGCTGAATATTCAGATATACTCTTCTCCTCGGGAAAATTGGTATATCATGGACAGAACCTTAATACTGACAATTTTGATAAGTGCCTCTGTAACTCAAAAGTGATGTCTTTTCCTAGGAGGCCTTATGCATTCAATCATAACCAGCTTATAGGGAGATTTAAAAAAAAAAAAGAAAGAAAGAAAAAGTGATGATTGAGAACTGCATAGTTTCCCTGAAGTAAAAATACCTGCTTCCAGATGCTTAGAGCTTGAGTGAATGCAATTGCACTCATTTCTGTGCCATTCGAAAGGTTTTGGAATCCCTCAGATGCTGATTTCTCGGTGGCTTCAGTTGCAGTGGTGCAGTTACACATCCACTCTTGAGGCCAGGCTCTGCGCTGGCTGCAGGTGTGAGAGCTGTTACTGGAGTCTGATCGTACCCACTTGGAAAACCTTACCTTGGCATAGTAACCATTCTTGGAGTACTGTTACTTTACATTTATCATGAGGAAAAGGAAATGGTTGCCCAAGCTAACTTAGTGATAAATTGCTCATGAGCTCACATCCTTACACCAGCTGAGTCTTGCAGTCTATGCATCTCCTATGTGTTTCAGCTGGGATACCGTCCAGTAAAGTATCATTGAAGTCTTTTTCCCTAAGGATGAAAAGAACTCATCACTAAAGAGTACACCTCTTATTTATATAGCAACCAACTTGCAGTTCCCAGCTTCTTCTGCTGTTTGTTCATATTTAAGGCATTAAAAAAAGAAAAAAAATGTAGAGAACTCAGTGTTTTGAAAGGTTTCCTTTAAAATGATGACTTCTGTGATGGTGAACTCTTGGAGTTAGCCCTGTGACTGGGATTTAAAGTAACAGGTCCATGATCCCAGACCTAATTTAATTTTCAGATGTCTGCCCAAAATGTCCAATAAGACACTAAGATTATGTTTTAATGACATGCTGACATAATTTGGCAGCTGATTTGACAGATCCCAATAGAGTTTTCATTAAATAAGTTCCTTTGATGTGTCCAAATTACAGCTAGCACTGGTAAAAACATGGGATTTGCCGGGGCTACTCTGGGTATAAAATAATATTTAGTTAAGAAATAGGATAAAAAAAGTTATTGCTTTATTATTCCAAGGCTGCTCAATAGATTTTATTTTTCTTCATAGATGCTCAACATTTGCAAACAGCTTATTTAGAAATTGAAAAAAGAACAAAGATTCCAGACACCTGCTTTATGTGTTTGGTCTTTAAGTATAAGCGCAGCTTTCCATTGCGATTTAACAGGATTTAGAAGTGCAGCTTGAAGCCACCATTCAAATCCCTATATAATTAGTAAATTTCAGTTCAGATAAACACGCAATAAAATTTGGAAGTATCAACAACAACTTTATATTTAAGGTCCAGGTATTAAATTAGTTCTTCAGCTCCACTGAAAGTATCCATACGGCCTCTAAATTATGCTGGTACTATATTTCACCAGAGTCTGCTTTGTTATCCAACATCTGGGAACTCCTTCCTAACCATTGCTGTGTTTTCCTGTCCAGATTGTTGCCATTCCTTTCAACTCTATAAGTGTTTGTGTTTCGCCCATTTCCTCCATCAGCTATTTTATTTATCCAAACAATTGTGTGTATATGTAAATAAGGACCAAGGTATGGCCCTTCCACACTGCACATGATTATTTTTTAATGCTTCTAAAACTTTTTAATTGGAAAGCTTGTAGAGAGCTTCTGTTCTTCAGCCGATATGCTACAGCTTTTTAACATTGCTCTGAAATAGCTATTACACAGGGTGAAAATGAGTTAAAATAGTGGGTACATTTTGCTTAAAAACTTGCTAAGCAATACTCAAGATCACGGCCTTCACAGGAAAAATGGTTTTCAATGTTTGTCATGCAAGCTCATGTTTAACATTTACAAAAATGGCCAACCAGTCTCTTCTGGTACAACAGGTTTTATCCTTGATTTTTATTCGTGTGTCACCATCTAAACTGAAACCAAATTTATGATGGTGTTCTCTGACCCCTTCAAGCGCGATGCCATTTACCTGCTACGGCCATTGGCATGCAAGCGGCCTCTGCGTCTGGAGCAGGGAGGCAGCGAATGGCATAGGGTAACCCAGGCAGGGCATGGTGTGCCACTGGCAGAATCCACTTGAATTATGGATTATGCAGGACCACACTTTCCCTTATTGAATGTTGGAAAAAGAAAAAGTATAATGTTAGTAATTTATCAAAGAAGCCTCTAAATTCTAAATGAGAGATTAACTTTTGGTTTTGCATTTTTTTATTTGGAGCTGATACATGTCTGCTGTAATAAGGTCATACGTGCTAAGAAATTAAACATTGTATTATTCAACAGTTGCTGCATTGCTGGATGCCGTATGGATTATAATTCATAACCATCCATATGAATAGCGTACTGCAGCTGGCTGGCCAGAGTGATTAAAACAATTTCTTGCCATAATGAAATCTCTTTAAAAAAAAAAAAAAAAAATCGGTGACCACAAATCTGGTATTTGCAACTCAACACATGAAGTGAAAGATTGATATTGCCAAATATGTATCTCAGAATACATGGCAAATGTGTAAATTCTCTTTGAACTAGCTTTGATGGCTCCTTTTGTTCACTTCATGCCAATCCATCAGTTTCAATTTGATGGCTTTGTTCTGTCTGAAGCATATTAGCCGATATGGTCTACTGTTTATTGAGCTTTTGCTATACTACTTTTTAACTACAGTCATGTGTTTCTGAGAATCCAGTCAAAGTAGATTATGAATTCTGTTCCAACTATCTGGGCCCTGTGATTTTTTTTTTCGCGTTGACTGTTCAAGTGCTAATAAGGCGAGACAAATGATGGTGGCTTATAGATGTTCAGATAGTAGGTGGCTAGAGATAGTTTCACTGCTGAGCTATTAACAGTATCATCCAAGAGACAGATGAAACAGGAATTACAAGTACAGTCTGTTTATCAGACAGAGTCCAGACATGGAGACAGAAGTAACTGTGGTCATGGAAAGACTTGTGTATGAAGAGAGACTAAAAATAATATGCTACAGCAAATGCAGGAGAAGGCTTAGCAAAGAAAAGAAACCACTCTGGATGAGCTGGGTTTGTTTGGATTTTACATAGAGTGTATGGTTATGAATTAGTGGATTTTTATTCTTTAATTCCCATTTTATATGTTTGAAACTATATCCTCAATTGTTTCAAAAAAGTTAAGCATTAGAAATTAGCCTGGTAGTAAAAGGTAAAATTAGAACAAAATTCCTCCTAGAAATAAGATATTCATTGGTTGTCCTGTGAGATATTGGTTTACTTTTCCTGTAATATCTAGATAGTAAATTTAGACTGTTACTGTGAGATGAATAGTCATTTTCTCTTTGCCTGTGCTGTAGGAAAAGGGGAGTAGCATGATCTTATATAATAGATAGAAAAGTATTGAAGCAATTGTGATCACTAATCTGCTGCAGTGCTTGAAATTTGGTAGAATGACAGTTAAATGTAGTGCAGAAAGCCCTTCATGCCCGTAATATAAGTATCACCATATGAATTTTCATGGTATGCTGCATTTACTGTGTGTTTTCCATTGTTTTAACTTGTAGCAAGGTGACCTTGATTTCCTAGATTGAAGATTTTAGTAGTTCATTTTACTGAATTCGAATGAACAGAGCAAACTGTATCTGCACATTGAGTCCTACAGAGCTGTAATCAAGTATAGCTCCTGCTGGCCCGGAACGTAACAACATAGAAACATGTAAGTTCATTACAAAAAATTCAGAGTCTGAATGACATTCTCCTGTACAAGAGACATAAGGACACACCATACTGAGTTAAAGACGAATAAGATTATTAAAATTATGTTCTCTATAAATAGCTGTAAAGAAACTACCTGTATCTAGCAAATGTAACATTTCAGTGGAGTTATATTTCACAGCTAGTTACTAAATTCCCTCATGCAAAATACAAACTAATAAATGGGCCTGAATATCACAGTGCACACCTTACCAGAATTGTTCATATATCCTTTACATATATTTTTAGGCTATTTTTATTTAGAGGTGTTAGCATTTCAGCCACCACTGTCTATATACGCTTTAACCTAATACTGCAGGAGCTTTCTTATGCCTTATGCAGATATTATAAATCCACTATGTAATGTAAGATGATTGTAACTTTAAAGGTCAGAAAGCAGGGAAATTGGTAAGACTGATGATAACTTCTTGTGACTATCAGGGATGTCAGTATGACTTTACTGGTATGGCAAGCTGGAATATAGGAATCACCACAGTCTCAAGTTTCAGGTGTTACCAACTCTGAGTACCCAACAGTGAAGTTAGTTTGGTTCTCTCTGTCGCTGAGCAAGGAATGGATATGCAGCGTAGTGTATTGCTGGAAAAAAGTTTAGTTAGATGTTTTTGTGTCCGGGTTGTCATAGTTAAGCTGCTTGTGTCACTGTTTTGACCATTCTCAAATGAAGGTGTCATCTGGCATTGTTCAGCAAGCACGACTGTCAGCCTGTTGCATGATCTTCAGGCCAGAAGTCAATCAGATTTGACTACTGAGATCAGTGTTATCTCAGCAGGGAAACTTCCTGGAGTATTTAGGTTGGATGTACAAGTTCAATAATATGGGATTTAGCACAAAGTTCTATAGGAAGTCATTGATTTTTAGATACAAAATAAATAGCAGATGAAAAACTTTATTCCTATTTGACATTCCTATTTGTTACTATTTGACATATGATGTATCATGTCCCAATTAATTTATTAAATTGCTGCCCCTTTTACTTCCTTGCTGTTAAATAATTCTTTTTGCATCCTAACTTCTTCAGTTTCATTTCTTTGGATTTACCTGTGGTTAATTTCATTGTGACTTATGTCAATAGGTTGTGCGTTAACTTTACCAGCTAGTTAAGACACGTTTACCATAATGGATTATTACTGTTCAGATTCAAGTGTTCTTGAAAGTGTGTGTGTCCTCTTTATAAGTTCTTAATATGTGTATGAGATGTAATGATTTAAAATTAGTGAACTTCCTATTCTGTCAAATTGCTTCATTCAATAGTCACAGAAAAACACTTAGAAACCTCTGAACAAGTAGAAACAGATTTGTACAAAATCCTTCCTTTCCTTTCCTTCTCTGAACAGAATTTTTGCCAGATGTAAAGTGTATCAAGTCCTCATCTGTGAGAAATATTTCCTACAGCTAGTAAAGTATCTGTAAAACTACACTTGTTGCTCTGCACAAAGTTTTAATTTTTATTAGAACTATTCTGATTTCTTTATTTTATCCTTTAAGTAATCTCTCTTCATATATTACTACTGTTAGATATTCTAGTGTTTGGATATTGGGTTTCTGTACCAGTTTTTTTGGATAAACTCTTTCATTCCAGATCCAGTAACTGCATCTTTTGAGAACTATAACTGTACTCCACCAGTCATATTTATATATTTTGTTTCCCTGGAATGCCACTGATGTACTTTTATGTATAATTTCACCATATTGAGCTTGTCCTCTCCGTTCTAGCTTCCTTTTGCTGTTTTACAGAGAAGAAGGAGGAAATAATTATGAATAAATTCAGCCTATAAGACAGGGTCTATTTACTAGTTAATGAATATTTAATAGTATTGGTTATTACAAGAAC